ACAAGGCTTCATCATTTATCACAGCAGGGCCAGCAGACAGAAGACAGCAGCCTTCTGCTTTCTGGCAGGAAGTCCCATTCCGAGATGAAGGAAATGGCCAGTTTTCCTCATCACCTATTTCAAGTTTATTTCATTTGTGCAATTTAAGTTATGTATTTATTTTTTAAAAGTCAGGTCTCACTTGCTATGTAGACCAGGGCTAGCCTTTGAATTCAGAGATCCAGCCGCCCTGACCTCCTGCATGCTGGGATTGAAGGCACACGCCATCTTCGGGACTTTATCTTGGGCAGGTGAAAAGTATGATCGTCCCCAGTGGCTGAGATGTGACTGGCAAAGGTGGAGAAAGGGGAAACAGGCTGCGAAGGGAACTTCTTAGTTGTGTGTGCACTGAGACTGAAGTCAGGGCCTCTAGCTTGCTAGGCAAGTGCTCTCCCATTGAGCTACATCCCCAGGCCTAGGAAGGGGGCTTTTCGGGTGGAAAAAGGCTCCGAGGTGGCGCAGATGCAGGGTGGGAGCGAGCGGAGACTTCCCGCAGCTCAGGCCAACCCTTCAGGCTTGAGCCACACATTTCCACTCCTGAAAATCCTGGGAACCTCGGAGACGAAGTCATGGCTCCCTGAAAGTCCAAAGCTGCCTCCTGCTGCTGAATCTCGGTCTGAGGCCTGTTCAGAGCCCTGCACTTCCTTCTTGTTTTGTTTTGTTCTTTCAAGACAGGGTTTCGGAGCCTCTCCTGGAACTCACTCATTCTGTAGGTCTGCCTCCTGAGTGCTGGGATTGAAGGTGTGCGCCACCACTGCCTGGCTGGTCACTGAGCTCACAGGACTCAAACTGTGTCTGAGAAGTTTTAAAGCATGGATGACAATGACGTCCCATCCATGTAGAAAATGTTTGCTGGTGGCCGTGCCTGGGAAGCAGGTGCAGTTGTGGCGGTAGAGGCATGGAGGGTGTGATCAGGAGTGGGAAGGGCAGGGAATTCAATCCATGAAAGCTTTCCTAGTGAATCTTATGCTAGGGATATGAAGGTGGGTTCTGAGGCACCTCGAGTGATTCTAGTACTTGGGAAGATCAGGAGTTCAAGGTCAGCCTTAGCTACATAGCAAAAAAACAAAAACAACCCCCACCCCAAACCAAGAAATGCAGGTAAGTGTTAAGTGGGTCAAGAAGGGGACACCTGAGAACACCTGAGCAAAGGGGAACAAAATATACTGCTGAGAAATGCAGGGAACGTAAACTTCAGGGGCATCGGAAAGGCCCAGGGAAGCAGTATCAGAAGAAAAGGTCAAAGGCTGAGGAGCTAAGGTTAGCCTTAGAAGGAGGTGGGGAGGGTGGAGAGCTAGCTCAGCAGTCATGAGCACTTGTTCTTGAAAAAGGCCCAGGTCCGGTTCCCAACACCCACATGGTGCCTTACAACTCTCATAGCTATCTTTAACTCCAGTTCCAGGGGATCCCACACTCTCCTCTGACCTCTGTGGGCACCAAGCACACATATGATGCACAGACACATATGTAGGAAAGCAGTCATACACATTAATTTATATATATATAAACTATATATATCTGAAACTATATCTGATAGTTTCTACTCTGTAGTTTGGGAAGCTACCTGTGTTTACTCCTTCCTTGTCCCCTGGCTAGCAGGGTGTGGCATTTCGAGCTAAACTCTTTAAGACTGGAAAACCTAAACTTTAATTGCATTCTGGCCCCACTCCTCCCCTGTCCTGGAGGCTTGTGGCCAGTCAAGGATCAAGATCTCAAAAAAATCTGTAGACCCAGTTACACTACAAATCACAGTTCATTTTATTGCGAGGAAGTACATTTTGTTCTGAGGTCTCCACACTGCAAGCCACAGGCACCTCCAATATTTCAAACTCAATTAATGTTTTCCACTTTTCTGTTAACCCTTAAAGAACAATGGCATCTGTGTTGGGTGGGGTGAGAAGGCAAATGCCCAGATCTAGCAGACAGACTAGAAAAGCTTTTGATAACTGATAATTGCTGAAGTGAGTGACAGATACATGCATATACAGAGATATTGACATAGATATAGAGATTTGTATATGTTATGGATATCTGCATGTATTATATAATAGATCTCTCTTTCCACTTTTGTGCATATTAACAAATGTTCCTATTTTTTTAATTTTCTGAGACAGGGTCTTTCTATGTAGCCCTGGCTGGCCTGGAACACCCTAGGTAGACAGAGCTGACCTTGAACTCAGAGAAACCCAATGTCCTTTGCCTCTTGAGTGCTGGGATTAAAGACATGCACCACCACACTTGGTCGGTGTTCCTAACTTTTTTTTTTATTAGTTTATTCTGTTTCAAGACAGGTTTTTTTGGGGGAGTGGTGGTAGAGTATTAGTTTGGGACGTTTCACATTTGTTTATGCTGTGGAACATCTGTTTAATGATACAGAGATGTGTTGCATTCTTTTATGCTGCATTTGTTTAACTCTGTGAAGCTGTGTTATTCTGCCTGTCTAAAACACCTGATTGGGCTAATGAAGAGCTGAATAGCCAATAGCTAGAGGCAGGAGAAAGAATAGGTGGAACTGGCAGGCAGAGAGAATAAATAGGAGGAGAAATCTGGGGAGAGAGGAAAGAGGAGCAAGAGAAGGAGAGGAGGACTCCAGGAGCCGGTCACCCAGCTACATGGCAAGCCACTGAGTAAGAAGTAAAGAAAGGTGTGCAGGATAAAGATAGACGCCCAGAGGCAAAAGGCAGACATTATAAATTAAGAAGTCGGCAAAAAACAAGTTAAGCTAAAACCAGGCATTTATAATTAAGAATAAGCCTTTGTTTATGATTTATTTGGGAGCTGGGTGGTGCACTCCCCAAAAGAGCAAAGAGTAAACAGCCAAAAGAGTAAAACACCAAGAACTACAAAGGTTTCACTGCGTAACAGTCCTGCCTGCCACTCTGGAACTCACTCTGTAGTCCAGGCTGGCCTCAAACTCACAGAGATCCACCTGCCGCTGCCTCCCAAGTTCTGGGCATGTGCTGCCCCCACCTGGCTCCTACCTTATTATTTTTTATTATTTTTGCTTTTTGGGTGACTGGGGCTTGCTGGGTGTGTGTGTGTAGGTGGGGCAGAGCTTGAACTATGTGGTGACATACAGACCAGGCTGGCTTCAAACTTGTGTCTTCCTTCTTCAATCTCTCAAATGCTGAGATTATAGGTGGGTGCCATCATACCTACCTTACATGTTCTGAGTTTAAATTTCAAAACTGTTACCTCCGTTTGTTTGTTTGCTGTGTGTGTGTGTGTGTGTGTGTGTGTGTGTGTGTGTTTGTGTGTACACTGTGGAGAATGGAGGAGTTGGTTCGTCTCTGTGGGAGTTCTGGAGACTAAACTCAAGTTGTCAGCCTCAGTGACAAGTTCCCTTACTGACTGGGACCACTTGACCATGCAAATCTTTTAAAATTTTAGCAGAAACTTAAAATTGTTAAAAATGGATCTTCATTTCCTACAAGTAGGAAAACCCCTTCTAACTGTGCCTCATGCTGACCTCCACGTGCTGATTGACAGAGGAGACCAGACGCAAGTCACCACCTCAGCACCTCCGACTCAGGGCTGAGGAACAGAAGCACCACGCACACACAGCCTGAGTGCCAAGGTAGCAGGAGAAGAGAGACGTCGCTTCTTGACGGGGCACCCCCCTCTCAGACCTTGGCCAGGCTGCCCTTTCTCCACTCCTTCAGAAGGATGACTCCTGCCTTCCTGGATCCCAAAGGAACTAAAAACAAAGCAGCCAGAACCAACTACATCCCCTCCCCCTTGTTTGGAACTTTCTCTAGGGCCAGCCAGCACACATGGTCAGATAGCCTGAGGTCAAGACCCTGTTTCCTCTCCCTCCCCATGGGAGTGGTCCCCACAACCCACCCTTCCCACAGCTGATCTTCAAGGATTGATGGCTGCTTAGGTCTTTATCTGCCTTCCCACCTCCTTCCCTTTGCAGCCCTGGGCTGCTTCCAGCTTCCTCCTAGATCCCACAGAGGTTTCTTGGGAAAAGCATCAGCTCCCTCAGGCCTGACCAGTGTGGGGCAGCCCCCACTGTCTAGGGAAACCAGCTCCTCCAGACACACTGTCTCTCCTGGTCTCCTCTGGCCCCTCTCAGACCCACAGCTGCAGCTCTCTTCTCATTGGCCCAAAGCCTTGGTAATTTCTGCACACGGAATGCTAAGACGCTGCCTCTCTGCCATCTATTGAGTAGACTCCACAGACCTTGTCTGGCTTTCACCTTGGAATCTGCAGCCCCAAGTCCAGCTTCCAGCTCCTTAGCACTAAACTCTGAAGTTTTTTGTTTGTTTGATTGGTTGGTTTTTCGAGACAGGGTTTCTCTGTGTAACAGTCCTAGCTGTCCTGGAACTTGCTTTGTAGACCAAGCTAGCTTTGAACTCACTGAGATCTGCCGGTCTCTGCTTTCCAAGTGCTGAGATTAAAGGTGTGCACCACCACCACCCAGTTCAACTCTGAACTCTTGATCCCAACAACTAGCTCTCCTACCAGAGCAAACGGCACAATCATCCCCCCTTGTACCCAGGCCAGACCTGACAGTGTCCTTGTCACGGCTGTAGCAGCTCTCTGGCCTGTCCATCGACATGCCCTTGATCCCACTGTCCTGTCTCCACGGCTGCCACCTGCACCTGTCTTTTCTCTCCGTGAACACTGCCCACATCTAGACAGTCTGAGCAGGAAATGCTGCCTAGGCCTCACCGAGCCTTCGATCCGTTTTGTTCTTCTCACACATCAGAGCATCAGCTCCACATGGGCAGCAGCGCCATAGGCACGCGCTGCGTCCCCCACAGCTAGCACCCCAAAAGGACGATGAGAGGACAAATGAACCACCTAGCCTAGCAGTAGGCGTCTGGGAATTCTCGGAGTTAACCCTAGTGGGAAAGTCTCAGCCATGGCCTGACCAGAGTTTCAGAGGGCAGCTAGGACTGAATTCTGGTTTGCCGCTCTCGCACCGGGCACCGAGGACAGAAGGCGTTTCTCACCTCCCTTTTCCATCGTGCCAGCCATTCGTCCCGTTTCCGTTTGCTGATGTAGTAGGGGTCCCCTGCCTGGAAGGTGAGTCTTGGCATGGGTCGCTGACGGAGGCTGGACTCCCAGCCCAAACCACCCCGCAGTCGGCCCCGGGAGCCCTAGGACAGAAGATAAACAGGCATTATAAGGTGGGCACAGACACCCCTGAGGGTTTGCCCCTCGTGGAGGGGAAGCTGAGACGGGTCACTCATCCCAAACAGAATATAGAAATCCTGGCTCCTGGCCAGAGGGGTTGTTGACCCCAGAGTAGACAGAAGGAGGGACTAGAAGTTGGTAGGGACACAAGAACAAGACAGTGGGGGAAGTGCTTGATCTCCGGAGGAGGGGGGGGATGAGCTGGCTGCCTGGCTAGGGGACTTCCAACCTCCACCCCCACTTCCTCTCCTTCTCACAAAGGGACACCAAGAGGCAGGGACCCACCCTCGGGCCCCCCTCACACACACTCGCCACAGTCCGTCAGAGAGGTGGCTTTCTTCTAGAAACAGGATCCAGAGCCCCTGGGGGTGAGGAAAACACTTGCCTCCATTTTCATGGATTCGATGTTGGTCTGCTTCTGTTCTTTGCCTGTGGAAAGGGAAGAACAAGGGGACTGTCACAGGGGTGGCTCGGAGGAGCCTGGGGGCCTCCTAGCATTGGTCCATTCCTGTGTCAGCCATGCTGGCTCCAAGGACACAGAACAATGTCTGATCCAGGTCCCAGACCCAAGAACATAGGAGTAAGAGAAAAACCGGGGGCTTGGTTTCTGGTCCACGAACCCTGTTCTCAAGTACACAGAACGGGCTTCGAAGCAGCCACCATCCACTGCTGAACTCCAGCCCTCCTTCAAAGCGAGGAGCAGGAGGGTGAAGAGGCAGAGGAGGGGCTTGAACTGAAGAAGCCAGGCTGTTCACTTCTTTCTTTGAGGTAGGAAAAGGTGCCCAGACTGGCCAATGGGCCAGCTGGACTAGACCCTGGTGGTGCAGCCCTATCTTTCGTTAGATAAACTGTAAACAGTTCCAAGTAGTATTATTAACATGTGTAAACTGTCCTCGTTCCTGGCCCATTCTCAGGTCATGAAGAGCAGTCTGGATCCTAACTGCCTCAGTGTGACCCCCTAATCTCTGCTGTTTCCTCGCCAATGTTCTAAAAGTCGGAGTGAGCACTGGTGTGCAGCAGGGTTTGGCATACAGTAGGTGCTCAATACGTGTCATGTCAGCATGTCCCCGCCCCAAGGAACTCCTTCCCTGAAGCACACATTTCTCTGTTCTTCTGGCTTTTCTCAAAGTTCTGGCCTGGGCACTGATTCCAGTTCCAAGGAGGGACGTCTGGGCTGGGAGCAGCAGTCCCCACAGCGCCATCTTTAGGAAGGACTCTGGGCTTCTCTAGGCCCTACATGAGGGCTGCTACATCTTCCTTTCTGCTTCTGCCTGCCCGCCCCGCTCCTCTCCCAGTCAGCCCCGCTGCAGCCAGCTGTATGGTTTTTCCCAGCAAATGGGGAGAATTCAGCTGCCTTTCACCTAGGTGCCCGAATGCTTTTTTTCTGAGGCTGAGAAAATACAGGGCTTAGGCCCAGAGCAGGAAGGTCACTAAGGTTGGCTCATGTAGCGTGGTGTGTAAGGGGAGGGGGTACGGAGACAAAGAGCCCCAAACGGAAAAAAACAGCCCCTGCTGCATCGCCTAGCACAGGAGCGGAAACCACCCGCAGCAGCATTTACGGCTCTGAATTTTTTAGCCTGGACGTTTCCCTCTTGTTACCAGACATGACCTGGGGTTCCTCTCTGCACCTGCCCTGAACACCCCGACAGCCACGTGTGCCTGGTTTCCATCTACTGTGGTGGGAAGGAGGAAGGGAGGACAGAGCCCCTGCGGGACACCCCATGGGTGTGGACCCCGTGGGAGGTAGGTGTGGCCCTGGGTCTCGTGGAGGCGCTGCGTGGGAGGAGCGTGGTGGCCGTCACCCACGTGTGGGTGGGGGCGTGCGCCCTCCCAGCACAGGGTACGTAGTTGTTCTTTTAAGTCACGTCTCACCCGTCACGACTCTGTCTCTTCCTCCACGGTCTCTCTCCCACCGCCCAGCTCCCCACTTTCCACGGTGCTCGCCCTCAGGCCTGCCCTCGGCCTCCCACATCTGGGGCCAGCCCCTCCCTCAGACCTCGCTGCTCGGCCCAGGACCCAAGCTGCCAGAAGGGGGCGCCTGCTCTGGATCGCATTCCACACTACTGCTGAGGCTGCAACAGCTGCAGCGGCCATGCAACAAGCGGCTGAGGGTGGTGTGTGAGGCCCCCAAGCTGACCCACGCTGTTGGACTATCTACTGACCCTAAGAGTTTTCTGAATACCCCCACCACCACACCCAGTGGCTTTTGGTACGTTTACCGGGAGTGATTTGTTTATTAGAATACAAGAAAATCTGAGCTGAAAAGATGTGGTTTGAGTTTGCTGAATGTTTCACACGAGGAAATTGAGGCCTGGTGAGCAGATCTATAATCTGATTTCAGGGCTCCTGACTGCCAGGTGCGCTACCACCGTTATTCCTTGTTTCTTTTGCCAGTCCTCCAGCCCCTAAGGTCTTCCGAATGGAGACTTCCTGAAACAGTTTCTAAATGGCTTCTTTCTGGAATTTTCTCCCCGACAGACTGCGCATGCCCACATGAGAGAGCGTCCTCTCAGTCACAGGCAGGCGCGCACTCTCTTCCTCTCTCCAGCCTGGCCGGCAGATTGGCTGTTATAGAATGCTGGGCGGGCCCACTCTCTGAGGCCTCCCTCTGCAGCCTGTCTGCTCCTGGCACAGACCCAGAGTCCCAGAGCCAGGTGGCTGCGTGCCTTCCAGAGTGGCCCTGGAGGAGAGGAACATGACCCCAAGAAACCCCAGGTTCTGGGGACAGGGGAGGTCAGGAGCTTCAAGTACTACCCAGCAAGGACCACCAAATTCTCTTTACAGTGAGACAATATCCCGATGAAAGGGCAGATGCCAGACTTAATATAAGCATGATTACTAGCCCATATTTCTCTCCATGCTCAGTCTCAGCAGAGCGGACTTATGCTGACCCTCACCCACTCCTCTGTGACAGGCTTCCTGTATCCCAGTCTGGCCTCCAGTGCTCAGTAGCTGAGGATGACCTTGAATTTCTAATCCTTTTGCTTCGTACCAAGTTCTGAGACTACAAGCACGTGCTTGTACACCTGGCTTCCCTACTTTCTTCCCCATAAGAAAAGCAGAGACAATAAAGTCTTTCTCACGTGGCACAGGCTGACATCAGACAACATGAGGATGTCTAAGGTAGAGCTACAGAGTCTGTATCTTGGCTTCCCAGGTACCATAGACATAGCTAGCCCGTGGACCACCGAGCAGTTGAGGGCAGAGCACACTGTGCAGTATAGGCAGGTACCATGGCTTTCCAGGAAGGATAGACGAAAATCTCTGTTGCCAGATATTTGATTACTCTGTGTAAAGATAGTCACTGTGCCTGGTTTAGTAAAAAAGCTAAAATGGTCAATAGCTAGGCAGGAGGTATAGCAGGGACTTCTGGACAGAGAGAGCTCTGGGAAGAAGAAAGGCGGAGTCGCCAGCCAGGCACAGAGGGAGCAAGACATGCAGGAGGAGAGGTAAAAGTCACGAGCCAACACATAGATAAATAGAAACGGGTTTGCTTAAGTTATAAAGAGCTAGTTAGAAACAAGCCTAAGCTAAAGGCTGAGCTTTCATAATTAATAAGTCTCCATGTCATTTTTTGTGAGTTGATGGCCCAAAGAAAAATCCGCCTACAACTCTCTGAAGAGTCTTGGAAGGAGAGGAACTATGTCCGAGTCTCTTCCTTCCTCATCTGAGGTCTTCAGCTGGGCACACACTATCAGCTGACTGTGGAGCAGAGGCCAGCCTCCAGACACCAGCACACTGGCCAGCGTCTCTAGGAGGCCACTGCACACCTCTCTTGGAATTCTACAGTCAGGAGTGAGTGCCCCCAAGTCAAATGGAAGTTGAGACCTTGGATAGCTGTGCCTACCATGCTTGGACTTGCCTGTAACTTCCCAATCCAGCCTATCAACCCTTTGGCGTTTCTTTACCTCTTAGATGGGGCATTTGCTACCTCCCTCCATCTCTGTGGTTGCCTCCCTCCCCCCATCTCTGCAGTCATCTCTTTCCATCTCAGTGGATTCATTTTGCTTATCAGAGCTGACTGTTTCCTCCCCACACCTGCAGCAGCCCCCTAACTTCTCATCCCACTTCCCAGACCTTTCAAACTTCTGGGGAGTCTACATGGAAAGTCATCTTTTCCAAACAGCCAGCCAGGTCAGCCCTGAGAAGAGAGCTAGGAGAAAACCTGGTGTGGCCACTTGCTACCCACTCCCTGCCACCTCCTTCCCCCTGGCTCTCTCCCGTCCAGTCTGGTGGCTTCTGTTAGGCCTCTATGCCCTGCTTTCTCACCTTGGAACCAGTCTGTTCTCACTGTCTTCTCTCCCCAGCCCTCCCGTGATGGGTTCCAGCACACCCAATTATGAGAATAGCTCAGGTCCTGATGTCCTAGCTCCTCATGGCATTGTTCTTACTCGAGGATCACGGTCTGCGCACAACCACACATGTGATTTTGTTATCATAATGCTTTTGAGAGAGGAAGCTGGATTAAAAGTTGTTGGGCAGAGGATAACCTTGAACTCCTGATTTTCAGTCCTTTTCCCAAATCCCGAGATTTGGACACTATGCCAGTTAACGCAGTGTTGCGGGTTAAACCCGGGTTACATGTCTAGCCCTAATGGCACATCTGAAAGGGCAGAGTCTTTAACCAACTGTGAAGTCCTTGAGGAAAAGAGCCAGGTTTCTGTTCAGGATGGCTTCCACAGGCTGGCACAGGACCTGGCACACACCAAACATGTTTAATGAACACTTGTTGGCTGACTGAGTGCCTGAGAACCGGAATACAGACAGGAAAACTCTTAAACAAACCCTCAAGGTCAAAGAGCAGCCTTGGAGCTCTGGCTCCATCCTGCCTGGCGGAAGGGACTGCCCTTGTCCTGGCTCTGGGCACCTGCCTTGGTGTGATCCCAGCACTCCGGGGGTGAGTCACTGGAGCAGGGCGGCCGGCTAGGAAGGGCACTGAGCTCTCCTGCACGCCTGCCACTGTGGACTGCAAGGAGGTATCTCTCCTCCTGTTCTTGCTCCTCAAGCTCTCCCAACACTCCTCTGAGGCCTGGGGAGCTGAGAGCCACACAGGACAGCACAGCAGAACAAAGCAGAAGAGCAGAAGGATACGTTTACCGATCCTGGGTTGGAGGGTTAGATCAGTTGGTACACTGCTTGCCCAGCATACAGAAAGTCCAATGCTCTGGGCCCAATCCCCAGAACTACATAAAAACAGGTATGGGCAGCCAAGATGGCTCAGCAGATAAAGGTACCTATGGCCAAATCTAACAATGAGTTTGATCTCCGCCCCAAGGGTTTACATGCTGGAAGGAGAGGACAGAATCAAGTTGCCCTCTGACCTCGATATGTATATTATGGCATGCACAAGTACCACACCCATACACACAAATAATAAAATAGGCATGGGGTACATGGTTGTGTGATAGCGGAACTCAGGAGATGGAGGAAGAAGGATCAAAAAGTTCAAGATTAGGGTCAGGCAGTGGTGGCTCATGCCTTTAACCCCAGCACTCAGGAAGCAGAGAAAGGCAACATTTGAGTTTGAGGCCACCAGGGCTACATAGTGAGACCTTTTTTTGTAAAAAAAAAAAAAAAGAAAGAAAAAAAAAGAAAAGAAAAAAAAGAAAAGAGAGAGAGAGAGAGAGAGAGAGAGAGAGATTTCTGCGGCCAGAGGCCAGGTTTGGGGGCATGAACAAGTCACTTCCTAAGCTGTACTTTCATCCTGGACGGGGGGGGGGGGATGGGGGTGGGGGCGGCGCTAAGAACACCTCCTGAACATAATCATCTGGAAGAGCAAACAGAAGAACAAACGCAAAGAGCCTCAGAGCACACTCTGCATATGGTGGGGACATCACAAATATTTGCTGAATACTGAATGAAAGATATTTCAAAATAAGTTTGGAAACCTCTTTTCTGGAAATATTCCCTCCTCTGCATAAATATTAGGTTTGGATTCATGCAAAAATAAGTTATGCCAATTAATCAATTTACTCATTCCATCATACACACTTGGAAGGAAGACTTTCTGAAATTAAAATGCACATATGCAAAACAACCTGGCAGGGCCCGGGAGGATCAAATGTGATAATGGAGGAGGAGGTGCTATGTAAACTGTGAAGCCCGGTACAAATGCTAGCTGTCCTCATTACTCACTTGTTTACAGCTTGCTTGGCCCTGAAATCTCTGGCTTAACCTAAAAGTGAAAAATGGGCAACTTTCCAAAATTCGGAGCGAGGCCACAAAGTCCCCAGATGGAGAGGTCTGAGCAGGGCAGTGCGCAGCCGGCCTCCTTTAGCCCTCCCCTTAGTGTCCACTGTCACAATTTACATGGTGGAAGTTTACCATGGAGTCAGCCAAACTACAGTGTGCCAGGCAGAATCTCTGCATTGGGATAGGTGAGCATGGCATATGTGTCCTCATGAGCCTAGGCAGGTCATGTATAAGAGTAAGCAGGCCAGCTGGCAGTGGAGGGAAACTGAGGCACACAACCAGCATAGAAAGAAGGGGGGCACTTATTACCCCAGTTTAGCATCCCTTGGCATTATGCAAACCCACTATTGCCTGTTGCCAAAGCCAGCTTGTTTTCTTCCCCACAAAGAGCCAAAACTCCAGATTTTCATGTGGAATTTCTTGATTTTTTTCAAAATACTGGCAACTAATGTTTTTAACTGTTTAGCACACTAGGTGGGCCAAGTAAACATGTATACAGGCTGTTTTCACCCAGTAGCTTCTAGACCATGGCCTTAGCAAAGGGGTGGTCAGCTCCCACCTGTGCCTAGCCTCCTGAAACCTGCCAAAGATCCAAGTCTGTGATGCTTTGGGGCCCAGAGTGCCCAGAAGAGGTTTCCCTCAGGCTGGGACTCACCCTCTTCTGCAGAGGCTCCGCGGCCCTCCTTGGTTGTGCAGCAGCCATTCTCCACGGCTCGGGAGGATTCTGGTGGGGTCTCAGTTCCCTCTCCTTCAGCTGGGGCCCCACCCTTCTGCCCTGCAGCTGGGCTCCCCTCCTCAGGTTGGGGCTCACTCCGCTTTTCCAAGTCTCCATTGGGTAACAGATCTGAGGAGCCAGAGTCCTGGGCCGTGGGCTGAGACTTGCTGGTCACTGCAGGGTCCTTGGGTGTGTCACTGCTTTCCACCTGGAAAGGGTGAAAACAGACGAATGTCAGGATTAGACCCGAGTCGCAGACCCTCTGAGTTTCTAATGAAAGTCGTGTGCACTGTGCGTTTATGTGTGTCTTCACACAAGCAGATGCAGCCACAGGTTTGCTGTCAACATTAGAGGCTTAAGGGGACTGTGGATGTCAGGCAGGTAGACCTGGTCCCACCACCCCAGGGGTATTCCACTGCACCCCAACTCACTAAGACTTCTGTGGCTTCCCACTTCTAAACCAATAATTCTGCAGTTGGGGGTGCAGCCCATTTGACAGAGTGCTTGTCTAGCACGCATGAAGTCCTGGGTTCAGTGCCCAGTACCGTGTAAATCAGACATGGTGATGCACACCTGTAATCCAGCACTCAGCAGGTAATGGCAGGGGGATCAGGAGTTTAAGGTCATCCTCAGCTACCGACTGAGTTTGAGAGCAGCCAGGGCTACATGAGATTCCACCTTAAAACTAAAAACTGGCAAGATGGCTCCATAGGTAAAGGTGCTTGCTATGCAAGCCTGGTTACCTGAGTTCAATTCCCTTTGTAGAGAGAACCCACTCTGGAAAGCTGTCCTTTGCCTCCCACAAACACTCTGTGTGCCCTACACAGATGAACACAATAAATCAAAACCTAAGAACAAAAAACAAAACAAAAATTTTCCTCGTGCTCCATCAGTAAAACTGGACCCTTCCTCAGGAAATTCCAGTGCCACCAGATCAATCCCAGAGGCACCGAGGCTGGCCTGACTACACCTCTCATAGGCTTCCTATGTTCTCATGGGGGTGGGGGCGGGGGTGTCAAAGACATCCTCACTAAGAAGCATTCTCTGGATCTGAGCTAGCCTCACAGCTCTCTGTCCCCAAGTCAGGCCCCTACAGGTACTCTGACCCAGGCCCCAAGCAGTCTCCAGCTTGAGCAGCAACTGTCCTAGGTATAGAGCCCTCCATGCCTGTCTGGAAAGACAACAGACTGCTTTATCCCTTGGGGCCTGAGGTCAGAGTCTGCTAAGGCTCCAACTGGTAGAAATCAAATCAGGATTCACTCAGGCTGTCCTCACATGTCCTCTTATGGGTGTGGGTGTGTGCGCGTGCGCACACGGGTATATGTGTGTGTCTACTTTCTTTCAGTATCTCTCAGCTTCCCTGGGAAGCAAAGAAGGAACCTGATGCTCCTGGAAAATTTAGTCATTTGCTCAGTGTTGTCTGCTTTCAAAGACAAGGTGTGCCAGGGAGTTTGCACCCTCTCTCTCTTTCATGTGTGTGCGCATGTTCAAGTGTGCTCTGTTTTTGCTCATCTTGTGGCAAGTGGTCAGAACATCTTTTTTGTTGTTGTTGTTTTGTTTTTTTGAGACAGGGTTTCTCTGTAGCTTTGGAGTCTGTCCTGGAACTAGCTCTTATAAACCAGGCTGGCCTCGAACTCACAGAGATCCACCTGCCTCTGCCTCCCAAGTGCTGGGATTAAAGGTGTGTGCCACCAGCGCCCACCTTGGCAGACTGAGGTGCGTGGCTCAGGGTCTCTGCCTTAGGTAGACACTCTGCTACCTTCGAAAGCACTAAGATGTGCTTAGCAACCCTGCCATTAGAAAATGCTCAGGGGCAGCAAGTGCAGACCAGGGGCAGAACTGGCTCAGCAAGCCCCAGTCAAGACATGAGCCAAGAGCATGGTGGCACATGCCAGGAATCCTAACATCTAGAAGGTAAAGACAAAAGGATCAAGAGTTTAAGGTCACCCTTAGCTATGTAGTGAGTTTGAAGCCAACATGGATGTCTCAAAAACCCAAATCAAAAAAAAGAAGGCTCCCTCTCTCCTATCAGGGAAGGTGATTACACTTAATCAACAGATACTGTAGTGATATTTTGTTTGTGCTCTAACAAATAAAGCTTGCCTGAAGATCAAAGGGCAGAGCTAGTCACTACTTAACCATAGAGGTCAGGTAGTGGTGACACACACTTTAATCCCAGCACTTGGGAGGTGGAAACAGGAGGATCAGAAGCTCAAGGCCACGTTGGGCTACTTGCGATTTAATCTGTCTAAAACAGTCTAAAAGACAAACAGAGCTCACACATTTGGCCTAGGATCTCATGCCTTTTATCCCAGCACTAGGGAGGTGGAGACAGGAAGTGATATGACTGGGCTGAGGGAGGAATATAAATCAGAAGGAGACGGGAGCTCAGCCTTATTCGGTCTGAGGATTTTGTAGAGGTAAGAACTTTAGTGGCTGCTGCTCTGCTCTGTCTTTCAGCTTTTACCCCCTAATATCTGACTCCGGGAGGTTTTTATTATTCAAACCAAATTGATTTGAGCTACAGGATATTTTACTTGAGTCTTTGATGTTCTTTACTTCACAGGGTCCAGGCTGGCCTTGAACTTATGTATTAAATAGGTAAGGGTGACCCTGAACTCTTGATCCTCCTCCCATCTTTGCCTCCTATGTGGTGTGCTTGACAGGCATTTATTACCTTGCCTGGATTTTTTTTTCTATTATAAAAGTAATGGGCCAGGCGTGATGGCGCAGAGGCGGAGGCAATGCTAGGCCAGCCAGGACAACACAAACCAAACCAAAATAAATATATAATTGGTAATAAAAATTAGACATACATTACACATTTTTCTGTGTGACAGGGCCACAGTTATCCCAGGCTGGTCACAATCTTGCTACTTAGGTAAGAATCACCTTGGCCTTCAGATCCTCCCTCCTCCATCTGAGGAACGGGGAGGGCGTGCACCAAACACCCAGTTTATGTGGTGTTGGAAACTGAACCCAGAGCCTTGTACTTCTTGACAAGTGCTGTACCCACTAAGCTAAAATCCCAGCCCCTTAAAAAAAAATTCAGTTGCACAAACCAAAATGTTAGAGTAAAACGGAGCTGGCAAGATGGCTCAGCTGCCAAACCTGGTGCCCTGACTTTGATGAGCAGGACCCACAGATGGAGGGCGGGAACCAGCTTCTGCAAGTTGTCCTCTGACCTCCACAAGTCAGTCAGTTTCTCCCCCCATTCCTTCCCCCCCCCCTCTCTCTCACACACACACACACACACACATAATACAACACACCAAATAGATACATGTAAACAAAAAATTTTAAAGAAATAGTTTTTTAAGGTTAAAACTCCGGTCGGGTGGTGGGGATGCACGCCTTTAATCCCAGCACTTGGCAGGCAGAGGCAGGTGGATCTCTGTGAGTTTGAGGCTAGCCTGGTCTACAAATCAAATTCCAGGATAGCCAGAGCTACACAGAGAAACTCGGTCTCAAAAAACAAACCGCTAAAACTCCTATATTAACACCCCAAGTTATTCCTCATTAATCATCATTAGCAGCTTGACAAATATCCTTTTCAGTCCCTGTTCCCATCCTCCAAACTGGGTCTCAACATGTAGCTCTGGATGACCTAGAACACTACCCAAGTGCTAGGATTAGCATAAGGGACCCTGCTCGGCCTTTTCAGACTGTTTCATTCGCAGGCTGAATGAAACATGGCTCAGTGGCTAATGGCTCTTGCGGAGGACCTAGGTTCTATTCCTAGCAACCACATAGTGGTTTACTGTAACTCCAATCCTAGGGGCTCCAGTCTCTCTTCTGGCCTCCACAAGCAACAACCATGTACATGGTGATCATACATATAGGCTTGCAAAGCACTCATATACATAAGATAATTTTTAAAAAGTGAAATAAGGTTTCATGTAGCCTAGGCTATATACAAGCTATGTGTCTGAGGCTGGCCTTGAACTCCTGATCCTCCTTCTTTTGAATGCCAAGTGCCGGGATTACAGGCACATGCCAAAGGCTGGATTCCTTTAGGCTTTTCACAGTCACATGTAAGTTATACATTTATCCACATATTCACACACACAACGCAATCCAAGATCATGTTTTATCATGCTACCCATGTTCTACAGCTCAGTTCTTCCCTGATAAGTACAGTGGCATCTCTCGACGCCTGTGCATATGGCTCTGCCTCCTGCTTGGCGGATGCTCCATGACTCACGCCAGCCGTCAGTACTGGGGCTGTTCTGCTTCCTACTGAAAGGAGCTCTATTACTTCCAGTTCTCTATAGCCACGCATATCTACAGGGCAGTCCCAGGAGGACTGGCTGGGCTACGTGTAGAGGAAAATGACAAACTCCCTTCAAAAAGGCTACAGCACCAGCACATAGCCTGAGAGTCATATACCGCCAGTCCTTTACCTCACAACCTCCATTTCAGGACTAAGATGTCCTGTGAGTCCACGGTTATCTGATTAGGAACCCTGAGAGGGGCAAACAGGGACCAAACAAGGCAAGAACAGCAAACCCAGCGTCCCCCGATTGTGCCACCTCCTGAGGAGCCCAGCAGCTGGCCTTGTCGCTTTCCCAGTCTACTAGTCTATGCTGTGGGCTCTTCATCGGGGAAAGAGAAAGGTGAGGAGCTGCGTTAGTGCGTGCCTCAGCAGCTGGGGGTTTTGGTAGGCTGCAGCACGGAAGAGAAGTGCATGGTGGGAAGAAGGCCTCCTCCGGCCTTGCCAGGCTGCTGCTGTTGGGCAGCTACATGAGGAAAAGAGGAGGGAGCAAACGTGATCACCCACTTGCTTTAGCCACCGTGCCATGTGTTGGACTCACCCCAGGGCTGAGACTGCACCCTGACCTTCCTTGTGTTGGTCTGTCACTCTGCAAGGCTGAGTCACACATGACAGAAGGACATGCCTCACTGCTCTGGTAGACACTTTCTAGGAACCAGAGGTGCCAAGTCCCATAAGGCCAACATGCTCTACAGGGAGATAGGCACCGGTCACACTTGAACAGAGCCAATCTCTCATGGTCGCTCTCTCTCTTAGGCACTAGCTGCTCCACGGAGCTGCATGAGATCACCCCATAGAGGCTTACTTCCTGTCTGGGGACCACGTGGCCTCCTCACCCAAGGTCTCACTTCCTGTTGCTGCCAGCTCCACAGTCCAGGAATCCAGGACTGCTAGTTCTGGGACCCAGCCTAGCCCAGGGGTTCTCTGCCTGGCCA